ATATACAAACCACAAAGTTCTCCAATCTATACAAGTCTACAAAAGAGTATACGGCGGGGAGAGTTTTGCGGGAATATCCGGACTTTGCATCCGAGCTGCCAACCTGGAGGCCTCATAGATATTGAGGCCCAGCCAATAGTCCTCCGGAAATCAATTCCTAAGGGTTTAGGGCTTAGGGCCTTTAGGGTTTTCGGGTGCAGGGCTGTGGAGCAGGCCCGGTAGGATTGCGGCCTGAGCGTTCGCGAGGAGCATGTCGAGCTTCTTCTGACAGTCGGGGGCACAGAAGAGCAAGGGCTGGCGATTGGGAGGGTTTAGGGTTTAGGGACCACCTCGTTTTCCAACTTGAACAACAGATCCACGACCTTCCGGTACTCGGGTGCCTGCTGGAAGGCAGTCTTCGGATTGAGAAGCAAGCAAGGGATGCGCTCAGAAAGCCTTGAGAAGGCAAGATGATGGGAGACCCCACGGCTGAGGCCGTCGCTGCAACTAGAGCTTTGAGTTTCGGATTGATGTACCTGGCCACTGCTTCAGGTGCTTTCGACATCTTTCGACTGCGGTTCGGCAAGCTGCACTGAGAGCCCAGCCCTCTATATCTCTCACCTTTCGCCAGCTTGGTGACTTTGACGGAAGGCGGCGGTATCTGAGCCCATGGGACGGCTCCCCCCCGCTGTGCATCTAAGGTCTGGCTCGTGAGGCGGGCGCTCGCTTCACAAGTGCTGAACCTTTCTTTCTCCTCGCAATGGGAGCCGCCTCAAGGTGGGCCGGGAGGCAAACACTGATCACTCATCGAAGGACTTCTGCTACAGCATGCCGAGGCTGCGACAGTGGCTGCAAGCTGTGTGCGGCCTCGGCAGCGGGCTGGTTTCTGAAGGATGGTACTTGGTATCTTGGAGGCTGAACCCCCCTTCAGTGCGGGGCCACTGCTTCTACCGGCATCCGACCCAATGACGGCAGGCCTACATCTGACTGCATCTGACGTAACAAGATTGATAGCCAGACTTGAAGCAATCTCACCTGCAGAGAAACGTCACAGCCGAGGGCAGCGTCGCTGCTATACAAAGCCTTAGTTGGAAACCCTGACACAGCCCTAACTCGACCGTGGCACCGAGCTCTGTGGATCCGGCAGGCCAAGCAGCCACCTTGGGACCTGAATTGTAACTCGCTGCCTGCACTGGACCCCATTTGCAGGGTGAGAACCGAGGTCGCCACGGGCATTAAAGATCTGTGGGCTGACCTGTGAAGATGCGGCCCAAGCACGCTGCGACAGCAACGGACTTTATCAACGTAGCCTCCGCCACCATGAAGGCATCTGTGGTGGCATGCCCCTGCAGCCACATCAAGGCAAAAACTGCAACGACCGCACCATGCAGCGGCCCCGTAGCATCACCCAAGCCCGGGACACCCGGGCTCCGACAGGAGCACAAACACCCAGTTTCCCTCCTACTCCTAAGCTAAGCTCAAAACACGCGGTAGCACGTGGCAGGTTGCTTAAGCATGGAGATCGACCTGGACACAGGCATCCTCCATTGCACTCTCGTGCGGCTCCGGCTGTTGAGAAAGACTGCCGTTTTTTCCAATAGATTCGCATCGGGTTTCCTAATAGCTGTACGGGAAGGACACTGCAGCGGCACCGGCACGCTTCAGATGAAGGTTTTGGGCCTGGCGGCTCGGAAGTCCATCAAGATCTTCCATTCCCTAAATTCCCTATAGACAGGAACCGTTTGGCCGTGTGGTGTGGGCCCTGCCCTCAACTCAGCTACAGCTACAGTACTGTCGTAGGCAGGTGGATCATCATCACTCGGGAAAAAGCGGTTCTCCCCTTTCTTTCAGCCACTTCTTGATGCCCTCGTTCTTCTCGATGCCCTCGACGATTGCCTGCGGAGACTTAGGGCTCTAAGCCTTTACGCTCAGCGCAAAGCTCCGATTCGTGCCATGCCGGTGCCTTGATCTTCGGGCAGGCATCATAGGCAGCAGAAACATCATCAGGGTACGTGTCCTTCTCAGGCCCGGGTGGACACAGATGGGGCTCACTTCCGGCGGCACAACGGGACCTTCAGAAGCTTAAAGATAACCACGTCGGCAAGAGACGCCTGTCACACAACGCTCTTGTGGAAGAAATGCTCTGAACGGTTCAGTGACCCCGCCTTGCTGCCAACGGCAAAGCCTCCGCTGCCGGGAAGAGCCTTCTCCAGCTTTGACAGCCAGTCGGGCAGCTCCTCTTGACCAGGCACCGGCAGAGGATCAGCGCCCTTCGATATCTTCGATTCCGAAGATAAAACGTCCTCCTCGTACCACTTCTTTTGCAACTCCTTAGTTGCTCAGCAGCTTCCGGTAATCATCTCCAGGTCCCTCACAGCCCTCTGTGACTTTCCACCAGGCAGCTGCTTTTTGCTCTTCATCCTTCATGAAGAACACCCCCTTCCGCTGGTAGGCCTCGGTTCGGTTAAGTTTACGGTTAGACGGACACATTCAACAAACACACACACACACACTTACCTACCGACCTACCGACCTACCTGCCTACCTACCTACCTATCTAGAAGTCCCGCAGCACAGTGTTTCGAGCATTCGCATGTATGTCTTGGAGATGGATTGCGGGCTCTTTCGCGACTTGCTGAATCAAGGGAGCATGATCGAAACGTTTCCTCAAAAGTCAAGCTGCCATGCTGCAATGGCTTGGATATGCTAGGATCGCATTGAACTACTCATGAAACACCGAAGTCAGGCGATTTGTGCATGCAGTCTTGCCCTAGTCACCGTCGTTTTTTCGTGCTGTTGCCAACTCGACCAAAGCGAAGAATACTCGGCAACTGAGCGTCGTTGCATTGACCGATAGCAGCTGGTCGTCTCATATCCATGGTAAAGATCGTCGCAGACACTGGGCAAATCCTCGCCATCTCCCCGAATCCCCGCCAGCTTGTGCCATCTTGCCTCCACGCTATGATTTCAGCCACGAGCTAAAAAACCCCCAAGTTGATTGCGGCAAAACTTCGGATGATTCCGAGTGTCCGCCTCGGTCCCGGTCGAAGGGTCAGAGGCTCAGAGTTGAGTTCTCTCATTTCCGGCCTTGCCAGCACTCCCCAAGCACGCCACCAATCCGTCAACCTCCGAAGCGTTCACAACTACCCTTGCCACATGCAGGGTTTTACACTTAGCCAGTCCTTCCGCGACGCACGAGCAAGAGGCACAGGCTCAAAAAACCGAACTGAACTTCCCTTAAGGAAGAGCTTGGAGGGGCGGCCCGCGGTAGAGCCCTCCGGGGGCTGGAATAAGGCTCAGGAGCCGAGGGGCGCCCTTCGGGCCGGGCGCCCGCAGAACTCTGCTGCGGTTCCTAGCAAAGAGCATCGAAGAGCGGAGAGTCGGACGAGAGCAAGTACACCCACGGCAGACCGCAGCCCGGCTCACGACGGAAGGCTGTTGGCTTCGCAGTGCAG